TGGGCCCCAGCCCAGCGGGGCCATCAGGAGCTGCAGGCAGGCCCAGGGCAGCAGCAGGAGGAGCAGGGGCTGTGCAGGTTGGTAAAACTGGAGGCCCCCACGCCCCCCAGCAGCACAGCGGGACCCTCATCAGATCCCACCACAGCTACCACAGGAGGTCCGGCTCCCATCGTCCTCACCAACAGGATCCCCAGAGATTCTCTCTGAGAATACTTGCCTGAGCAGTACAAAAATACTTGGTGAGATCACAATCATTGTTACTTTTTTAAACATCTAATGTGAAACGTTCAAACCATAGTACACATCAATTATTACTGTACCTTCTTTCTTGCTTGTTTCTCCTTAATATGTTGCTTTCTTAACCTATGAAAAAAGATAATATACATACTTTTTTGGCAGTAATTTGAAGATCTAGAGCCCAAGAAAAGCTGTTTAACAAAAAGGAATGATTAGCTAAGGTTTTTAAAAGATCCAAAATACCACTAGAATTTCAAAAGACATCAATATTTAACGTTTGCACTTATCAATTTATTAGTGCATTTAAGGAAACACATTCTGCTTTCTCTATATTTGAGAAAATGAAATGTTCATTCAATGGAGAAGAACTTTCAAAATAATACAGGGTCACTTCAATCTTTATGCCCGATAAGCATGAAAATGCAGCTCAGATCAACCCATCAAACAAGAACCCACATCACCCAAGAAATTTGGATATTATTAAATTTTATTTTATAGTACAGTGTTGGGCACTTTATGGTCACGTGGAATTTACCAAAAACTTCTACTGATGCCACAAACTTTGGAAGGAAAATAAAAGACAAACCACACCACACATCACAGCTCACTTAATACATCTAGACAGTGCACTACTAACAGTAGTCTAAGATCAGAATTAACAGTTCTCAAGATGACTTTGAACAATAATCCAGAAGGTGCAAAAGCATGGAGTAAATTTGGCGCTAGTTTTGTAAAAAGGTCAGTAACTAACTAAATTTTTAAAACTGTAAGAACAGTGCTGGTTGTTTGGTGTGTGAGTTTTTTTAATTTCAAAATTATAAATAAAATCTCAATGTATCCTGTACTTTATGCCTCTCTTTTAAGGATTAAAGGCTCACAATAAGGGACATTATTTGGAATGGTTTTCAAGGGTCACAAAAAAAAATTATAAAAAAAATAATTTAGAAGCATCAAGATACATGATGTTGCTTTGTTCCATGTCGAGGCATTTCTCATCATATCTGGCACAGATTTAAAATTAACAAACACAAACTGACAGTTTGCCAAACATCTAAGCATTTTAAATTGCTCTTCCTCCTCAAAAATCATAAAGTAACAGATGTGATGCACTTGTGTGCAGGCTGCACCAAGATTAGCTCTTCCACAGTGCTTTATTGCCTCATTCAAGTATATTAATTTAAAGAAGGTCTCAAGGAAAAATCAAAGGTTAAAAGAAAATGTACATCAATATACAAAAATTAATTTACAAAAACTTAAAAGGATACTGGCAACATTAGTAGATGTTTTAAGTAATGACTTATGATAATTATGGATGTCACAAACTAAATTCTTGTGGTCATTGCTATGAACTCTCACCTCATTGTTGGTCCTGAAAAGCAGTGCTTAACACCTCAGCTTTTTACCCATGATTAACAAATGATCAAAGCATAAACTACATATCATAAGTTCCAATAGTTATCCTTCAATTTAACCAGGTTTTACTTTTAAGAGTTACCTGGAACTACTGGTATGTGAACACTGTCTTAGGCCTTATTATTTCTACAGAATGTGACATCCATAATCACCCAGTCACTAGAAATATACATTTGCCTCATTCAAATAGATTTCTTCATGTTTTTATCATACAACCATATTTCAAAGTTACATGTAATTTTACACATTTCTAAAAAATACAATTTCATGGATCTGCTTCAAAGCAGATGTGCAAATTACTTTGAAACAAGGGGTAATATTGCACAAAATTCACTGAAGATTTGAAAGTCAACATATTTCCCCCTTCCAAACAAGTTGCTCCCATATTTTAAACAGTAAGAATGTTAATTTACACAGAATCTTAAGAAATGTCAACATACTTGAACTCAACTTATTTTCCAAATGCTAATACTGTTACTGGATTCTAAATACAAGTGTTGTTAGTATTGAGCTAAGTAATAGTACAGTTTAATTGAGTACCCTTTACTACAGTACACCTTGGAGTAACATCCAGCTGTGTTACCTGCTTCGTGCCCCAACCCAGCAGAGGACAGCAATGGCCCTGCCAGCTACATGGGTTGTGGATGTCCCTCTAGACTGAAGTGGCTGTGGACTCACCAGGAAACTCTACAAGAATAACTGAAGCAGCTTTCAGAAAGACCTGTCAAGTACTTTCAACTGGCCACTGACTGAAACTGTGGAACAGATATTGCAAAATGGATACAGGGAGGTTTTGCACAAACAAACCATATCATCCCTTTCTATTCCTTTATTTTCAACACCCTGAGGAACATGAATTCTAGGCCAGCTGTGGTCCATGCTCCTGGGGTGAAGATGAGGACATGTTCTGGTAAGCTCAGATTCTGCTAACAAGCAAACAACACCCGGCAGAGACAGACATGCCTAATAGCAGCAACAAGTTACTGAAGACAAGTCACACCACCATTCATACTGGTTTTGCTGGTGCAATTATTTCTACATTCATTCTTCGAAGATTTACTGCAATCCCAGGAGAACAGACAGCCTTCATCATCCTGAGCTTTGCAATACCAAAGCTGTTTAAGTTTATTAACCAAATTTGTTTCTTTTTTGTTTATTATTGAAATGTCAGGCTGTTGGGAATACACTGGCTAGAGTCTCACAGCACCTGGACTAGAAGCTGGTGTCAAGGGAGGAGATGCTAACTCCTTGGAAATAAAGCTCCTCTGGAGCTCTCCCTGAGGAGTCAGGGAGGTCCATGGTTAGGGGTTCTTCCTGCAGGACAGGGTACAGTCAGGATTACACAGGGGGCTTTTGCAAAAGGGTCTCATGCTGGCACTTGATTATTGCATGAAATGTTTCTTTGATTACTTACATGCATAGAGAAGGTATTTTAGATCCTTCTAGCAATTTTATTAGACAGCTGCACCAACAAAACATTGCTCTGTAGAATTGAGTATCATTGACTGTAGGTGGATAAGAAGCTGTTTTAAACACCTGGGTTAACTGTTCTTTTGCTTAGACTTTACATGGGTTACAAGAACACAAGGTTATAAACTAGCTCATCCTAAAACCTGAGAAGACATCTAAACCAGAATTTTAAGGTCTAAAACACTCTTCTAATAGACTGGGTGGGATTTTCAGAAGCACTCAGCACTTGTCTAAAACTCTGCCTGAAGTCTGTGTTACAATGCCTGAGAGGGGACTTCAGCCAGTGTTGAGAGTTTCTGATGATCCCACCCCAACAGCAGCAGCACCACTGAAATGCTAAATGACAAGGAAGGGTTCAGTCAACAACTTCTATGACAACTTCTAAAACTACGTTTTTTCTTCAGAACAAGTCTATTTTTCAGAACTACATGATGTCCAAAAATGTGAGATGGAAGAGCAAACCACTGCCTATTCTACACAGACTGCCCTCTGCATGCATAGAGGGTGGGTAGGGATCACCTCTGCATCCACAGCCTTTCCCTGGTATCTGCAGTCTTCCTCATTACACCTACACATGAATGGGAAGGCTTTGACTGGGACAACATATTTATTATCCATTCTTCATATCCCACAGGGAGATAACTCCACAGGCAATATTACTTTTGCCTACATGACTGATTACTATCTCTCCTGTGGACTTCCAGGCTCTGCTTCACCACATTGCACTGGAACAACCCAGGAATCCCTTTGTCCTTCCACTGCCCTTATTTTTTTCCTCCCAAACCAAATACGGCCCATTTTAGGCAGACATCTATGCAAAATAAACTCAAAAATATTCATTTCAAGTCCTGGTTTGACTTTCTACATTGGAAATTTGTTCCTATGTGTAAGTAACAGACCACAAAGCCTAATCAAATAACCTGTTACCTCCCTTAAACAGGAGAAATGAGAAGATTTTTGAGATCCTGAAGAAAAGAGATGCCTCTGAAGAAGACCACAGGAGCTCTGACTGAGCAGAATTCAGAGTTCTCACCAGTAGCTGGTGATCAATGTTGATGATTTTGAAAGACATTAGAAGGATTTCCACAACTAAAAAGCATACAGGTATAAAACTTGTGAAGTACTGGACCTGGAAAATTTATCTTAATATAGAACCCACTGTGGTACTAAAAATACTGCATATGTAGCCAATAAACAGTTTCATATTATCACAAGGACAGAGAACAAGAGTGTTGAACCAGAAATATCAGTTTGGACTCTTATCTATTTGGTAACTGGCAATTCTATTCAAATAAGGCACAAATATTAGCCTTTTTAAAAGATCACTGATAGTAAGTGGAAAAGATTCTGTACATTACAGAGTAAAAAAATGTACCTACAGTTAAAATCAACACACATATAAGACCAAGCTATTTCTGAACCCATACAAGGTTCAAAATCAAAAAAGACATACTATTTAATGATTGTAAACAAACTATGAGCTTTGTAAGGAAACAATGCAGCATAAGCACAGAAACATTTTGACTGAAATTAAAATAATTCTAAGTTGAATGTTACCATGTTTTAATTAATATTACTTCTTTTCAGCCTGCATTTTCACTCCATGAAGTAGTGAATTATTATTACAATGCCTCAATTTTGAAAGATTCCACTATCAAACTTTCAATTTTATGATTCTTATAAAAACTTAAGAATACTAGCAATCTCACATGGCTTCCATATTTATTCCACAAAGCTGAGATTGGAACAACCTATGTGATCATTTGTTCAATATCTAACCCTCGTGTAAAGCCAGTAAGATTTATGCCTGTACTAAACAGTAATTTTTGAAAACAATTTTCTGGCAGCATTCCTGGACTTAGGTTTTTGATGGTTTTGAAAGTAATAATGGCCATAATTTCTGTGGGTTTTTTTCTATTTTCCTCCTTAAAACATTGATACTGTTTACTAATTTTAATAAATGAAGGAAAAAAACAACTTAGATTGAACCATGCATAGAAACATCATGTGAAAGGAAAAGTTGAACCTTGAAATTCTCATCACAAAATGCAAGGAGATGAATGAGAAGGAGTGAGAAGTGCTACAAGAACAAAAACCTGTGTATTGCCCATTGCAGTACTATGCTTGGGCAATGTTTAGTACCAGCAAAGGAGAAGAAAGCCCTCAAGACATTAATGCCAGCTTTAAACAAGGAACCATCAGGTTGCTCTGGAGCTTTGTCATCTGAACAAAGAGCCACTTGGCCTGATCCCCTTGGAAAGCTGAGAGTCAAGATTTTTATTATTTTTATAATACTTTCAATTTCTAATAGTGCAAAATATTTTGCCAAGTAACATTTTTTGTTATTACAAAAGTTCACAATGTATCATGTTGTTGCACAAGAGGAAACCAAAGGATTAACAAGTAATCTGGAGCACAGACTTCTGGATGTACAGCTGCTAACTCTGGAACACTGAGATTCTCCAGCAATGCAGATGACCTCCAAAATGCTCATGCTTGATCAGACACAGATATTTCTGCATGATTTAGACTTTTACTATGTTTTAGCTTTGTTGCACTGATTAAAAAATTAATCCTGGAGGCTCACCCTCAGTGGCAAGTAGTGGCCCAGCCCTTCTCATTCTGGAACAAGATGAAATTTTGCACTAACTCCAGGTCTCACTCTACTGAGCCTCTCTGGTGAGATTCCAAAGAGTGCCTCTGCCATGACATGGAGCAATTCCCTTAGGCCAGCTGCCCTGTAAGAAAGCAGCCAAAAAAGCCCTTTCCATTTGTGTCAGCTAGAATGAAAATGAATTTATAAATCTCAGCAAGGTAATCAATATGAAACTCTGCTACAAACTGCTATTAAGGTACTAAAGCACAATCTGATCCAAATACCAACCCCAGGAACGTGCTCACTCAGGCCTAGGCTGAGACTAACAGAAATCATTCATGACAAAGAGGGAAAGAAAAAAAGTTTTGTAACTAAGAAGAGCAGCAGAACATTCTTCTCAGACAGAGTTCCTTTTATACCCATGTGGTATTTCTACCAACTTTACCACAAATATCCCTCAAAGCTGACAGTTCCAATCTGCTGAAACTGATTAACTGTTTCTTCTGTCCTAAGCTGTTGGGGAGACAAGGTATGTATGGTGAGGTGGAAAAAGAAAAGATGAAGAAAATTTTAAAAATTAAAGAGCTGCTCCATAGAGCATCAAAAATGTTCAGACTTTAAATATCCAATATTAGTCAGGAACACTGCCAGAAGGAGGAAAAATGCTTGTTCTAAATACATCAAGACCATTTATTTTCCTTCACTAAATCTATAAAGAAGATCTTGGTTGTCCAACTTGGCTAAAATGAGAGTTGGATATATGCAGTCTCAAACTGAATCTATAAATTTAGCTTTCTAGTGTTACAAATCAGGCACAAATTAGTTTTCCAACTATTAAAATGCAGAAAATAAAAAATAATAGAAATCTATCAATTCCACTTACACTTTCCTTTCTGAGATTTTTTAGGTGAGATAGTCTACCTAGGGAAACTGATAATGTGTCTTTAAAGTGTCTTAGTTGTAAACAGAAGTTAATAAATGTCACATTATATTCATCACTTCATGTACTTTAATAGAAGAGAGAAAACTACGTGCTACCTTTTTGAAATCTGGAAGACAGAGCCACAGTTTTAGTTTGGAGTAAGTTCCAAGTTATAGTCAAAAGAAATTCCTTAATCTATAAAAAGTCTTCTTTCCTCCCCCTGCCTTTGCTGAAACAAATTCCTGCCATGGAAAATCATTATTGCTGTTTTGTAGATTTGCATTCATCTTCTAAGACAGTTAAACCCTTTCTCAAAAGATTAAGGCAATTATTATTCATTACAAATATTAACATTTGTACATTTCAGAGAAATCAGATTGCTTGGTTCATTTCATGCTAATGGGATTAACATAGTACCTTCAAAACCTGGCTACCTTTAGGTGACACCCTTGCTGCTCAGAGGAAGCAAATGCTAGGAAGCACCATACACTTGCTGTATTTTCAACACAGAGAACTAACTAGTACCTGATTTGAGAGTGCATTCATACATTTACTTCCATTTTGTGGACCTAACTACAGCTAACAATTGAACTGAGTAAACGTAGAAGCAAATGTCCAGTGGCAGAAAATGCATACTCAACTGAAGAGAACTATTTTTATAACTGAAGATCTCTTATTCCTTTTCTTCTTTTTTTTTTTTTTTTGGTTATAATCTTATATGCAGTTACATGGAGTCCTGAGTAGTCTCCCTTTAACATCTGATGGGAGTCAAGTTTCTCTTTTCATACTTTTCTTACGTTTTATTTCCACTGCTACTGCTGGATAACCTATCCTTTGAAATATTTAAACCATAGTGAAAAGCAGAATTCAGTTTACATAATGACACCACTTCTTGAAGAAGTCCACCTTCTTCTGGAGTTTCATCTCCTTCCTTCCCACTTTTCTCCCAAGGGACCAGGATGGATGGCTGTTGAGCAAGACCTGCTGGGAGCTGATCTTCTGAGGTATTGCTTAGTGTTTCATTAGGCTTTGCATACTGACAGGAAGAAAAGCCTGCTTTGAAACTTTCTATTGAAGTAAACTGGGCACTTGGTCGTACTGGAGACAGGGATGTCAAACTAGTGGTGTCCATCTTGTCAGTAGTAAAGGTTTTGCCACTCTTTTCTTCTTCCATCCTTGAGAGAGACTCTCTCTGGCCACCAGAAGAAACTTGCTTCCTTGGCGACGGGGGGAGCTGCTTCCCATGGAGAACACTGTCATCCTGGCCAAGGTTCCACTCTGTCTGGTCATTGGCACTGCTGCAGAGCAGGGTAAGGTTGCTCTCACTAGGTGCATTTGACTTGTTCTGAAAAAAAAAAAAACCATGTGTTCATAGTTAATGTCACAAGAAACATCTCTACACTGGTATTTTTGAAACACAAGTACTAGAAGGGATTTTGTATGTTCCTAAATCATGGATTCCCTTTGGGGCTCAGTGTTACAAAACAACTATCCCAGACACAATGCAAGGCCAAGTGTTTTTACATGTCCTCACAGAACACTGCCTCAGTCTAAGGACTGCCTCTGGTAGCACAAAGAGGAAGGATTTCCGTCTTCTCTGTCCATTCAGTCTTGGCACTAGCAGTTTTGACAGTGAACAAAGACACAGTTTTCTCGTTTGCACCCATAAAATGAGAGGGAGGGGAACTAAAACTAAAACCAGATGGCATTTCCTCTTTGCTTCAGTAATTAATTATACCAATTTTCAATATTAAAGTTTTTTGGTCACACAAAACTGGGCATTTTATTAATCTAACCCCTGTGTGACCCTCATAATATAAAATTTTACAAGCTTTATAAATATTTGCATCAGTATTTGCTGCTCCAGTAACAAATCTTCTACTATAGGATCCTTTTCAGCAAAAGTAAGTATTGGACAGCTGACATGTGCTGGAATTCAAAAACACTAAGTTTTTTGGCTAATACCACAGCAGTGACTTGGTGAAAGTTTTAAAACTTTAGGCAAGCAGCATGTTTACACTAAAGGACCAGTGCAACTCTACCTAAAATAGGAACAAGGAGCCCTCTTAGAAAACTCTGGAGTACTATTCTAGCAGTGTTTCAGGTGCAATTACCACCTGGATTCCATGACTTAAATCAAGAAGGAAATATCATCGTATCACTGTGACTAGTCTAAGTCTACAAGGTGAAAAATGCTTTTTAAACCACATTAAAAAATCCTAAACCAGCTCAAGGCATATCAGATTTAACAGAAAAAAATATATAATATTAAACTATTTGATTAAGTAAATTATTATACTGTTCGCAGTTCTCTATGTGGTTACTGCTTTAAAGGAACAACACTGTTCTGAGATGACTTAGTAACCTGGACAATTTCTTGGCTGGTAAAAAACCATCATGCAGTGTCCAGCATGAGTGTACTGTTTTACAGCCCTAGGAAGACACATCAGGAATTCTAAAGACTGTGCTGCTGTGTCTGAGCTGTTGTTCATTCCACAAGTGCAGGATTCCACTCTAAATGGACTTGGGCTGGTTTTGAAATGAAAGCAGAAGACTAACCGCAGTCTTGTAATCAATGTCATCCATCGATCTGAAGAAATCCAGGCTCTTTGCTCCTGAGAGTTTTCCTTGATCTGAACTGTGTGTGCTCAGCGTGTCCAGAATCTCTCCAAGCAAGTCCATTTCTCCTTGATGCTGAGTTATTCCAGTTTCACCGGAACCATCACTATCATAAAAGTAAGCAGAAGCTTCTTCACTGTCTTCTGATGATAACCTGAAAACAAAACTTTTCCATCAGATAGGAACATAAAAGTCATTTATTATAGCCACTTCTGAAAGGACATAGGAGAATGCATTTCAAGAGCTTTGAATGGGACCATAAACCTGGAATATCTTTCTACTCAGGAATTTTCCTGAACACAAATATATTGTGTCAATGGAGATGCAGTTACCATTAGCTGCCTCCTGGCATAGCCAAACATCTTGTTCTAAGTGGCAAGACTGCAACTGCAACCATCACATGGGCAGATGTACTGAAGTACTGGCTATCTGCATGGACAACTGGTGCTTTTGTCTCTTATTTCCTCTCTTGTTCATTGCAACACCCTTACCTCAGACCCCCATTCTACCTCTTTTCTACCTCTATCAATAGTAATTTTCTAAAAAATGGTCTTTTTCTCCCTCTGTCTATCAATATTGCTAAAAAGGCGGTTTTCCATGGCTCATTGTTTTCATTATATCCCTTTTAACACTTAGTAGCTTTGTCTTCCCTACTATATCACAGACTAAGCTGCTTGACTTTGCTTTCAATGTCCTTTCTGGTTTATATGCAGATATTCATTATCAAAAATTGACTCCTCAGTTCAGAAAATGCCTCAATGCAGCTTAAGCCTCAACATACCTTAAGCCTCAACTTACACTTTCCCTTTAGTTCTCATACAGGAAGACCTCAATATAAAACGTCCAAGACATTATTTGTCTTTCAGAACCTTCAAAAATTGTCCCATTGTCATGGCTACAACACAAGCCTTAAAGAGTAGATTAGCTGAGGTCACTGCCCACCATGCTGGCGAATATTCTGGTGTTTATGTAGTCTTTATATCTGGAGGTTGTGAAGACTGAGGATTATGTCAAGCTATTCTGGACACTATAAATAATGAAAATATTTAATAGCCTCTCCCTCTTTTAAAACAGATTTAAATTCTAAACTACTTGACATCATCTAGATCAAGAATTGAGCTAGCAGCCTGAATATTGAAAAATTTGTCACTTGAACTCCACTTTGCTGAGTAACAAATTACCCTCTCTCCTATACATACATAACCCATCCAAACAGGCTTCTTACTTGCTTGTTCTCTCAATTTCATCATCATCATCTTCATCCAAGGCAAAATCCTGGTTACTGAGGCGCTGGTTGAAACGAGTCTGGAGGAAGGAAAATTAACATTATAATTTTGTTTATTTTTTCTATTTCAGCATTACTTTTTTGGAGACCAGCTGCCACTTTACTCATTAGGGCTTCTGAGCACTTCATGAGACAAACCCCATATTGATCAAGGCCTGCAAAGATTGCTCCAAGTCCTGAAGGATCACCAATTAAAGAGAACCATTTCTCTTCATGGCCTATGGAGGGCCTCCTTATTTATGCAAAGCCTGGTGTGCCTTATTATTTATGCAAAGCATTGATTAGCAGAAGCCTGGATATTAAAGGAAAAGCACTGAAGTCTACCAGCTACCCTTTCTTGAAAGCGCATTACAAAAAGTATCGTGGTTTAGTGCTTTTTGGTAGAAATATTTGCCAAGCTTTGGTTCATGTGGTCTATTGGGCATGAAGAAAGTCACTTGACTTTTGAAGTAGAAAATACAAAGGAAGTTGGGAGTCTCTTTATAAAGCTAAGTTTAGGTTATGGTGTTGCACAGGACTACAGAGTAAATAATACCCAGATCATGAACTTTGCACTAAGAATGCCTTTGTCCAGGATAATTTACTGTGGATTACAATTAATTGCAACCCAGGGCACACTCAGAGTACCCCAAGAAGTCTTTGCATGGAGGAGCTGATGTACTGGAAATTCACACATTTCTGTACTTACCTATTACATCACATTATTATTCAGCAAACAAATATAGGCAAAAGAATGCCACAATAATTGGAAAAAAGTCTCTAACCTGACCAAAACATTTAAATCAGGAATTTTATTCACTTGTACTTTGTACATGACTGTCTTCAGGACCGTGCAGTTCTTATACTTGTTTTGTATCAAAAACTTTTTGTATAAGAAGTTTAACTATACTGGCAATCAATGCACTGAAGATGCTGTGAACCCTGGATAGCCACTAATAATTTAAAGACATGTGGATGGAATTTGTAGAGAAGGAAAAAAGTATAAGCTAACTTTGAGGAAAATTATATGCAAGTAAGAAGTGCTAGTGCCCACATGTCATCATGCAGTTCACCAAATGCCTAAACCTGCAACCAGCCCCTGATGGGGAAGAAATATGGCCTTCATTTCAGACTACAAGGAGCTTGAAAATCTTGTACTGTGAGGATTTCAGTATGCTACCTATTATAGACAGGTATATACAAATACTGGGATACTCTCTGTAACTCCCCACCCTCCCCATTATTTACAGGAATGTCTCGGTATTCACTCTTTAGAGACTGAGATATTTTTTCTTGTTCAACAAGAGAGAATTTAATTAAAGCAGCAAGTTTTGATAACACTTTCCACAGTTCTTTGCCCTCAAAAAGGAAACATATGGTTCTTTATGTGTTAAACCAAGTTAATAGTTGATGGAAAATTAGAGAATTATTAGAGTATTACAACCCATCAAACAACTTTAAGATTCATTTTGAGAAAAAGGTATAGGATGGAATATAGAGAAACAAACTATTTCCAAGTTTTTCATATTTTTGTGAGTTCATTGTGTCATTTTCACCATTGTTGCAATCAATCATTCTCCTGCTTGTAAGGGAAGTGAATCACTCTGTTAAGTGATACTGGTGACTGGTTATCTTACTGATCCCTGTCACAAGCACAGTCACTGGTTTTGGTTTAAAAGTTGCAGCTTTAAGTATTTCTCTTCACTGGGAAAATGAATCTGATAACACTGGAAATTAAGCACTTCCCCAAGAAAATTCTGACATGACGTTCACTGTAATTCAAGCTCTAACCTGGAATTGGCTCCTGGAGGGCAAAATCCTTTCTGCCTCTCATTTTCTTTAAATGTGCATCAAAATTAGATGTTTCCATCACATTTACTCCTACTAACACAAATGTGAGACTTTGCAGGGACAAAGATTCTTTAAAATGTTGAGAAGTTGCAGAAAACAAAATGGAAACTGACACTTGTTCATCTGTAGAGGAATTAACTCTGCCAATTGATTCTGCAAGATAATGCTTGCTGATTTGTTGAAATAATAAATAATATTTCAAAGAGGACAGATATCAAGCTTCAAGGAAAAAAAAGGGGAAAAAAGAAAGAAAAGTTGAGTCTTTGAGAAACAGGAGCTGAAAAAAATAAGTAGAATCAGCAAACACCACAGGCATTGCAGTGGCCTCTCAGAACATCTATGAACAGTAATATGCAAGTGTGTTAGTGAAAGCACAATCATATAAAAGGAATGTAACAGACAAGTTGATAAACCTAAAACCTGCCTCCAAAACAACAACTCCTAGCTCCTGATGGTCAAACTCTTTGAAAAAACATTTTTGTTACCAATTTAAATGATGAGGGATATATTATAAAATTATATAGGGAGACTTTCAACAACTAAACCAAATAAAATGGGATTTACATACAAAGAAAAAGATATGGGGGAGGGAAGGAAAGGAAAGTATCTGGCTGTAAATAACAACCTTCTCCAGCATTTACAGCTCTGTGAGCTAACCACAGAGACAACAAGCAACACATGTTTTTGAATAGGTGACTTTCCTTTAGGAGCTGTAATAAAAACGACTGCAAGGGAGGGAGGGGTATGTCCAGACTACTTTGCAACGAAAGAAAAAGAAAGAAAGAAACCCTTAATAAATTTCAAAAGGAGAGTCATAAAACTTTTTCAATGCTCCACTAGGCAAAGTGACAGAGTATGTGCACCTGCAAAAGCTGTCAGAGTCATTTAAGAAGTCCGTCCATTACTGACGTACCCTGCTGTTTGCAGTTATTTAAGCTTTTAATTTCTGTCTTTTCTGCATTTTGAAGTGTGTAACCTTTTTTATACCCCTTTATGAAAAAAGGACAGACTTCTGCTTCCTTCCTGATTAGCATTCTAATAACAACCAGACCATTTTAATTTATTACCACAAGAAATGATATGGCAACAGTCCTTTCTTGTTGCACCAGGACTTTATAAAGTCTTAATAGACTGCTGTCATGTTTATTTCTATAAAATAAAAAGACAAACTTCTTTAAAGAACTTGGTTGTTTTGTTTCTTCCAAACAGTTATGCTTAGATATTAAATCTCTTACTTAATATATTTACTTTATATCATAACAAGAACTGGGATTCAACTTTTGCTGTTTCAAATTTCTCTCTTCCTGCACATGGCATCTCTCATCTCGCTTGGAATGTAAGAGCTGAGCACACTTAAACACAAGCTCGTGTTCTCCACAAGCTGGTGTGAGGCTATATATCCTTTTTGTATTCACCATACCCATCCTCTCTGGTTGCTGCCCTGCTTCAAAATCTACTTCTGCAAGTAGTCTGCAGCCTATACAGACCTGAAACAATACTGATCACTGAAGTAAGGAAAAGGAGATGACAGTACAAAACACAACATAACCAAATAAAGGCAGAGTCAGTCCTTAAACTGCTCTCTTCTACTTGCTTGTAGCCTCAAAAAATGTAGTACTTTGGAATAAAAATGCCAAATCCCATGAATGCTAAAGCATTTAAATGTAAGATGGTTATATTCTTGATTGGGCATTAAAGTCAATCTTTGAAATGTCAGCTTTTTATATAATGCTAGACCTTTCAGATGTCCAGCTTTTGGTAATGAGTGTGTATTGATTGATACTAAGGCAGGGAGCTTAACAAGGCTGCTGCTATTAATTACACTCAAAGTGGAAAACAAATAATCTTTTGATAAATGGCAGCACAAATGTAATTTCACATTTACTGGCTACTCAATACATCAACACATCTAAAGTTTCAAAAAAAAGAAAAATATGTACCATGGTTTAAATCTGTGAAGTACTGCTTCCTTTTTCTTAAAAATTTAGAGATTATTCATTCAGCTTGAGAAAAAAAAAAAAAAATACAACCCCACTGTTATTTATGATTGAGTATTTTATTTTACCCATCCTCTTCTCAACCAAATCACAGAAATAAGTATGGCTCCATCCAGTAGGGAAGAAAAATATCTCTCAATCAGACTTTCCAGTAAAGCACAACTTGTCACCTTCCTTTCCGGTTAAACACTGTGACCTAAAGCCATGACTCACAGGAAGGTACTCCTCATTACATTCCCTGAGAGCTGAGACTGATGAAAGAAAAGGGAAAGCAGAGACAGAAAAGAAGTACAGATTCTAATCAAGAATGTTCTGATATCAGAAAACTGCCCTGGATATACATTAAATAGATACTACCAGAAATATGGGCACAGTGCTTAGAAATGCCAAATACACTTTAATGCCGCAGAGATCTCCAGTGACTATTGTACAGTTATAGGAAACCCTAATACCTATGCTGAGGTAGGATTTATTACAAGTACAGATGACAAATTTGTTGAGATACTTAGTGACAGATAGCACATTACTTTTGTTCTGAATTACTGTGGTGAAAAATGAACAAGCTCTCAGCTCCCTACCATTATGCATGCTAGACTCCTGAACACAGGTATCATTTGAGAATGGTGTAACGCTGCTTTTTCTTTTTCACAATTAATCATGCTTCTGCAAATACATTTTCAAGAATAGTTCTGTTTTGCTCCAGAACGACAAGCCACCTTCCACTTTCCCTGAGGAATCACAGGCCCTTTTTCCTCAGGAAGCCTGAGCCCCCCGAATCAGGCTGAGGCCCCCCCTCCCCAGAGCCGCTTTGCTCCATGGCAGCGAGGCTGCTCTCAGCACAGCCTCCGGTTTGCAGCTGCTGATGCACCGTGGCACCGTGCCATGCACCATTCTAGCTGCAAGGGCTGCACCATCCCAAGGCAGCCCGGCTCCGCTTGAATTGGCAACAAGCAGAAGTGTTAGTCTTCTAAAATAGGACGTGGAGATTTGTGGTGCCATTTGCAACAACCAAAGCCGGCAGCTCATTTTTCTGCGCATGATTTTAAGAATTGGATTCACCAGGCAGAATTTGCAGTTACAAGAATGGAGAAATATATCACTTATTTTCCCTTTTCTGATGGTGATTGATGTCCTAATGTACACTCAATGATTAGATGGAAGGAAAAACGGATGGCTGAGAGGATCACAGTGGA